GGTCAATTTCTACGTCGTCGGGTCATCGTCGTCATCGAAATAGTCGTCCGCATCGGGATTGCTTCGAACCACAAGCAGCTCGAGTTGGGAGCAAAATTCGCTCAGTTCAATCGTCAACGCTGTCTCTTGGGCAAGTTCGTCGATCTTTGAGTCGATGATTGCGGCCTGACAAGTGCTAGCAGCCGATGGAGGATGGCATTGCGGTCCGTGTTCGTCAGATTCTTCCACGTATCCCGCGCATGACAGTTTGAAAGGGTTTGTCAGTGCATATCATCCGGATATATGGTATTCGTATTCGGATATCCGGATACGATGCAGAGCCCATGTTACATACTACGTATAAGTATCGAGCTTTGCATGCATGATTGCTGGTTTGATTGGATGTTTTTTGGTGCGAAGATCTTCTATTGGTGATCCATGATTTCTCCTCTACAAATACATACCTTTTGAACATTATACTTCATCTATTTTCAAGTTCATCGACGATTTCTGCTGGTTGTAGCAAACATTTTCGGACGGAGGTAGTAGCGTTTACAGTCGCACCGGTGGGGATGCTCTAAAATGTGGCATCCAGAGGAGCCCTTATCCAATCATATCAATGCTTGCATAATGCTTGAATTCTATTGGGTAATGCAGCTCGGCAAATCACAGATCCGTTACTACGTATTGTACTTTCGAGCGAAAGTTTGGATTAACGTTACCTAAAAAACCATCGCACACCAAGCGGCAAGACGACGATGAGCACCATCGAGTCGGCAATCTCACAGTATGCAAGTCGGAACTCAATCACGCACTGTCTGCACGGCTACTTCTTCCTGGGGATGAAGCGTCGACAGCTTGCTGCTGTGTAGGGAAAGAGCGAGCAAACCATTTCGAACTGGTTCACCAAGTACGATGCAACCGGGTGCTACTCGCGCAAAGGGTCCGTGGTCGCCTTGCGAGTGTGTTGGTTGGGACGTCTGCGACGATCGCGTGCTCTAGGCTGGACTGTTGTCTGCGGTCAAGGCTCGTCAAATTGTGGTCGAAGAATGGCGCGCAAAATGGACGTTCGATAGTATAATAGTATAGGGCTGTCAAAAGTCTTTAGCCAATCACACTGAGCTTTCGTAAATTGAGCCAATCACACTCGTTCACAAACCGATTCACTGGCGTGATACGATAGCGCCCCCACCCCAAATTTGAATCAAATCGACAAAACTACTACTAGTAGTATTTATACTATTGTCGATTTGATACAAATTTGGGGAGGGGGTGCAATCGAATCGCGCCGACCAAACCGATCCACAATCGATCTGATTGGTTGAATTTCATTGAGAAGGTTTTGATTGGCTAATAATTTTGAGCTCATCTGAGGTAGCCAATCAGATCGATTTAAATTCCAACCAGAATCCACGCCACAACACGAAATTTGACTCGAAAGCAGTTACTATTAATACTATTGTCCTTTTATCCAAAATTTGGACGTTTGTGCTGATTCGCCAAAGCAATCTATCGATTCTTTGTATTGACCTTTGTATACTGCGATCAAATTGGTCCAGTGTTCGATTGATTCTTTGTAGTGAACTTTGTATAGCGTCATCAAAATGGTCCGGTGTCACACTAATTTCAGTCACACACTAATATTTCAGTCATAACTTTACACTAATTCCATTTGGGAAGAGTGTGTATAATTTCCTCAAATTTGCACTTTTACAGTTAGAAAATCTGAAAGACCAGTATCCAATTCCAAAATGTTCCACCACAAGTCAAAAGGATGCATTTCGACCAATCTGATTGGGTTGAATTGGCAAAAGATACTATTAATAGTACAATGTACGGATATAAGTTTCATACTAACATCAAGGTAACCTTCGTGGCCAAAATCTACTGGCTCTATACAAAATACCACTTGGTTTACAGTCGATTACTTGGCTAATTCTTCGCCAAATTTGATTTTGAGACGTAACATCTCTTCACACCGAACTATGATGCACATCATCTATAAACTTCCAACTTTTCACAAAATTTTCTGACTTCTATTTCATATTCATTACTCAAAATTTCAGCGAATTGAGGCGTAGAATCGATAGATCTCAATGTGGTGAAGAAATTCTACGTCTCAGATTCAAATTTGGTGATGAATTGGTCCAGAAATAGATATTTAACCTAGCGGTATTTTACATGTGCGCTTGGATATTTGGCCATAGGGGTGGCCGCTGATATGCATCTTGATTTTTGATGTGACTCCTATCCGTATATAATATCCGGAGGTACTCCTGTGATAAAACGCATGAAATCGGTTTTTAACGTATTTGGTTTTGGGTTTAACTACATTAATTGTATTGTGATCGGAATTCGTAGGAGGCGTTTTCGGTGAAATGCATTTTAACCAATTACAATGAAGCACAGATTTGATTGGGCAGATTTCACTTTACATTTTGCAACGAAGGAAAATTGTGCTGGCATGTATGAATGTTCACGAACTGTTGACCAAATGACGAGGTAATATATGATTGGGACTACAAACTACATACTATTAATTAGTGCATCCTATATTGACACTTAGGCACGAAGAGGTCGTTTATTGCGCTTCTGGTACGGTCTTTGGTTTGCCGGTGGCTCCATT